TTTTTTTTTTTTTTTTTTTTTTTTGTCTGTAGAATAATATAATTTGGAGTTAATTATTGAAGTGGGGCAAACATGTTATGCATATAAGGTAGGTGGGATTGTTTTGGCATATGCTTGTGGGTCTTTCATTGTTATATTAATTTAATGTGCGTTACATTATCTCATAAAGTTTGGCCTCACTTTGTCCCATTAATTAATTGCCCTTCACACTTCAAACTAACTCAAAACCCATTGCTTTTCTTTTTCTTTTTCCAAATTATTCTTTTAATCACATTCCAATTATGTTCTATTTTCCTTTTCTTTTTTTTAAATATTATAATGATGTATGGACTTAAACGTTCGTAATACATTCATTAAAATAATATTTTTATCAGCAAGAATTTAAATAAAATAAAGTAATGCCTTGATCTAACTTAGAGTTGTTAAACCAAACATGAATGCAATTCCAACTTCACTTTCATGATCTAACTTTAGTGTAACGACCCTAGATTTCTACTAACCTAAAGACACTACTGTATACATGACGTAACTTCTTATGCAGAAATAATCATTTAAAACGTCTTCTTAAAATAATGTCGTGGACTTACATGTTTAAAAAAAAAAAGTTTTTAAAATAATACAAAAGAAATATTAAATAAACCAAAGTAAATATTAAAAATAACAATGTCCTAGACTACCACAAAGTCTAAGAAATTAAATACAATTATTTTAAGCACGTGGGTGTCTTGCCTTTACCTGAAATGTAGAAATAACACGTGGCTTGAATATTTTAAGAAATACCCGGTAAGTGACTCTACTATTGGGATTAGGAAATGCAAGCACATGTAATCGTGATTAAGGACCTATCATTTAAAACCATCATAGAAGTGGCCGTAAGTACGGACAAATTATATGTGTAGTACTTCTCTACATAAGGCCCACACGTGCGAGCGTGAATCTACTAGACAATTTGTACACCCCCTAGACCCATCATAGTTGGACTAGTTGGTTGTAGCCGTATGTCGATCATGCCATCATATCATTTGACATATCATATAATGGCACATTCATAACATCAAATTACACACATGCACATGCAAGGCCACTGACACCTATCATCATGCATTAAACACCTCCAATAGTGAACTTGTCTCAATTGACAAGGGTCCACATTTGTAGTCGTATGATTTATGAGTTGGTTTAATAGGGTTGAGCCTTGAGATGAACAAACTTGTATAGAGTCATGTGAGTGAGTAGTGAGTGCTATTAGAGGATCTACAACCATTCCCTAATCATGATCTTGTTCGAATGAGAGTAAGGGACCACATAGGTAGATTAATATTGGCAAAACTATGTCTCTCCCTCCTTAATGATATTAACGTTATGGGGCTTACTAGGGAGATGTTAAATAATCCCTACTAGAGAGTCCGAAAACCGTATTCATAACGTATTATGAGAATTATGAACTAGAACCTATGACAGGGTCACACCTCGAGTATCTATAATATTTAGGTTTATGATAGCAAGGGACTAGTAAAAACCTAATCAATATACCTTAGAATCCAAAGATAAAACATGGGTAGTAAGCTCAAAAGTCAAATAGGGAGAACTAATGGCCTAGATAGGGTTAAGCAAAGAGAATTTTATGGGTTCTTCGCCACTGTCCTAAGTCGAGCTTGGGTGACTCAAGCCAACCTACAGATAGCCTACAAAAGCCTATGACTTGAAATAAGACTTCGAAAGACAAATGAGATATTCAAACAACTTAATGATCTAAAGGACATAAAATTTAAGAAAGAACTATGAACTAAAAAGTAAGCTACTTGCTCATTCATGCTACCTTATTCTTTTCAGACGAAGGTTAGGCAAGGTGGTCAAGGCGAGGGCATGCACAAGCTGCATAGCTATAGAGGTCAAGATAGATATGAGACTTGATTTTCGACTCGCTCCGGTTTTCATGTATCTATTTTGAGTCTCTACTTTTGTATAATTGTCACAATTGTTTTGTACTATTTTAACTAATTTGTAACTAATGTACGCACGTTTTTTCATTGTTTTTAAATTATCATACTTTCTCAAAAAATTTATGTTAGTGAGTGACATGACTCAAACCTCTCGAAAAATAGTAAAAAATTGATAAATAATATTGTAATTACAAAAGGAGACGAGATGAATACACAATAATAATAATAATATAAAATTGAGAATAGAATTGGTAATTAATTATTATTGAAAAATGTGATAAAATAGAATTAGAGATGTAAATAATTAATTGATTTATTTAAGGGATGCATACAATAAAATGTTAGTTAAATAATGAATAAAATAAGAAAAACGTGGGTTTGGCGTGATTAAATGCTACACGTTAATCATTTGGCGTGCTCCAATCTCCAAAAATCTCTGCTTAATCCTTCTAATTTCTACCCTTTTTTTTTAATTACTTTCGACTTGTCGTCTCCTCTCTCTTTGCCAACTGCCTTCTGCCTTGCTCATCTGTCAATGTCGTCTTCAACTTGTCTTGTCGTCCTCTTTTCTCGTTGCTTTATTCTCATTTGTATTCCATCAATGGATTATTTAAATAAATCAAAATTTTTGGACAAATTACCAAACAATTTTATCTAAATAAATATATTTTCAATATATATATACTTTTTTTAGTGTATTAAAAAATAAATGAGTTAATTGTGGGACTCTAATTGTAATATTTAAACTAAAAAATTATGCGTAGAATTTTTTTGTTATTAAAAACTATGTTATAATATTAAAATTTATTATAATTTTGTTTACAAATTTTTAATAAAGATAATATTGAAAATTGAAAATTTTAAAATAACTATTTTTTAAAAGAATAATAAATGAAAAAAAAAATTACCCGTGGTAAATTCAATCTTCGCAAATTTCGGCCTGAAATTCCTACTCCAATCCGTACAAAAATATAAGAGAAATTTTGCAGAGATGAGAAGGAAATAGGTAGCAGGGATGAGAATGGGAAGACTTACCCGTTCCCGTCCCTTGAACATCTCTATTTTGAATATCTCTTTAAAACCCGAATGTACTTTATAAAAAATCGGCACAAAATTGAGAATATCTTTACCATTTCTCTTATATGTCTCATCTATCCGGATAATTTTTTTTAGATTTTCCCAATTAAGTGAACTTGGGGTAAAATTTTCAACCTAAACCATTTTTATTAAATAATGAACTAGATCCAGTAATGTTTATTAAATAATGAATCAGATCTATAAAAGTTAAATGTTAGTGGGTAAAATAATTGTTTATTTATTCATAAATATTTAATTAAAATTTCCAACATAATTTCAATATATATTTTAACAAACTACCTAAGTTAAAAATTAATTTGGAAGGTTATTAAAAAATATATAACAAAAAATTATAAAATTAAATAAATATATGTATATATAATTATATCATAAAAAGAATATATTTGGGTGTGGTTCAATTAATCTAAATTTATAATTCAATCTAAACCACACGAATTGAATTAAATTGGGTTGATTAAAACAAAAAATTTAAGTAATTAAATTTTTTTAAATAGGGTCAAATTTTGTGCCTAGGTAAATTTTAGAAGGTACCAAAATTTGAGTAAATTCTAGAAGAACATGTACAAAAAAAAAATTAATATTACATTGCTTACTAAATGAAAATGGTTAATTTTTTAATAATAAATTACTAATATTACAGTTTACTCATTAAAAATAGTCGACTTTTTTTTATTAAAAATTTAATTTTCACTCCTTTAAAAAAAATGGTCTCGCTTCCAAGTATAATTAATTACAACCTTCAAAATCATTGATACGAAACGAAGGGATATTATATAAAATTTTCTTAAGATTCCGTGTAACGGAACAAAAAGATGATCTTAATGTTCGTTAAGCAACCATTTATTTTAAATCTAAATAAATTGTGTTAATATATTAAAAAAATTACGAAAATGACCTTTATTATGCATTTTCTAATACTTGTATATTCTTTAAGAAATTCCGTTACTAAGCTAGAATGAAAAATAATATACGAATACGATCAAATTTGACTAATAGAATCCCTATACACATTTGGATGAAAGTCAACCATTTGAATTTATGTATTTCCTTAATAATAAATATTAAAAATTGAAATTTGAAGAATCGGTAAATTTAGTTTAAAATTTGAAAGGTTTCTTGTATTATTTACCCCTATAACAATGGTTCACTAGACTAATTTTTGTCGGGAGAAAAAATATTTAAAAAAATATTTTTAAAATTATGTTTATAAAAATTAGAGATGTCTATATAATCGGGGCGATAAACCTCCATTTATTACAAGAGAATAAATGGAGAAAGATTTTATATATATATATATATATTTTTTTTTTTTTTTACGAGTGCATATATTAAAAAAAAGTTTAAAGGTTAAACTAGGTTATAATATTAAAATTTAGAAAATTATATATATTTTTATAATAAAATATTATTAGATATGGATTATTTTTAATAGAAATGGCATTAGAAAATAAAAAATGTTCATTAAAACGTTTATTGGAAATGGATATTTTTTAAAAAAGAATATAAAAATGGAGAAAATGAGTATTAAAATAAATAAGAGTGATAGAGATAAAAAGAGAGTGAAAAATAATAAAGAGAGTGAAAAATAATAATTTAAATTGAAAGTAAATGATGATAATATTATAATATAATATTTGGGTAAGCATCAAATCAATGACAACTCGAAAGAATGATGTGTGGCCAATAAGGAGATTGATGATATATAATAATGATATTATGCACATCAATGGGACAAATTTTCCACACATATTATTTGTATGTTTGTTTATGAACAACCATCATGCCTATTGTTACTCAATGTTTCCCTATTAAATTTTTAAGAAACAAAATTAATGATTAAGATTAATATAGATAATCTCTCACCGTTTAAGTCTACTGCTAGTAGATATTGTCATTTTTGTGCTTTTCCTTTCGGGTTTTCTCTCAAAGTTTTTTAAACCTGTTTGTTAGATGTTTTCCTCAATCATATGGGATCTCACAATTCACCCTCTATTCGGATGCTAACACTCGTTCATTTCTCTAATCGATGTGGGACCCCCCCCCCCAATCTACCCCCTCAGGGCCTAGCATCCTTGCTAGCACACTGCCTCGTGTCCACCCTCCTTTAGGGCTCAGCCTCCTCACTGACACGTTGCCCTGTGTCTGGCTCTGATACTATTTGTAACGGTCCAAACCCATGTTCAAGATCTTAGTCGAAAGTGAGAAAAATTTTGCTGGGTGAGTCTTCTACAAAACCAACTAGGCTAAACCCATGTTAGGTTTGAACTGACGTGCTTCAGATCAAGTCGAGTCATTGATTTCTTTTCGCTAGATCCCTCTCTATTGTCATTCTCAAGATTTTGGTCTTTCAAGTGGAAAGAAAAGTAAATCAAAGAGGGAACGAGAAGAAGATGTTAGTAAATTTGATCGATTTGTTGGACGATGATTAGGTGGGTAAGTAAAAAATACAAAGGGAGAGGGGAGCAAGGTTTGTTCCAATTTAATTGGGCCATAGAACATTAATAGGTATAGAGGTAGATAAGATGATTGATTAAATATTACATGTGGGATGGAATTAATACCAATTACCCCACTTTGTTGAATTTTCATGTTTAGGGCTTTCATTTTCTTCCCTATACGGTCCCATTCACTTGTGCCTTCAATGCCCATGTCCCCTTCCCTTCATACATTTTGCTCCCTACACAAAATCATTACCTTTCATCTTAAATTTTTTAAAAATTTCTAACCAAACTCTTCCTAATTCAACCGTAAATGATTATATTGGAGCCTAAACTATGGTAGATAAACACGACTCTCTACAATGGTATGATATTGTCCACTTTGAGTATAAGCTCTCATGGCTTTGCTTTGGGCTTCCCCAAAAGGCCTCACACCGGGGCAGAGAGGGATGGTGTTTCTCTCGCTTTTGGCATAGTGGGCCCCAGCGGGAGGCCCACACGACGGGCTATTAGCTCATTGGTAGAGCGTGCCCCTGATAATTGCGTCGTTGTGCCTGGGCTGTGGGGCACTCAGCCACATGGAAAGTTCAATGTGCTCATCAGCGCCTGACTCTGAATCATCCAAGGCACATTAGCATAGCGTACTTCTCCTGGTTGAACTGGGGCTTAAAACCAAACTTCTCCTCAAGAAGATAGATGGGTCGATTCAAGTGAGAGAGTATTCTTTGATTATAAACTCATAATCATTCCCTATATTAGCAGATGTGTGACTTTTATCATCCAACAAACTATATCCAGATTCACACTTCTAATTTCACTATGCCACAATCAATTACCTAACATTTATTTATCATCACATTCCTTTGGAAAAAGATACTATTTATAGTATTCTTCACGAACTAACTATTGACACGAGATGAGTCCGATCCATACTTGTGTGACAATAACCGGCTATCATTCATAGCAATTATGACAAAGACCATAGTTTCCAATTAAGCAATTTATTTCAAAACAAACAATTTAAAACAGTATCGATTTAGGTCGAGGTCACGATTGGTTGCTCAAGTCTTTCTTGATCTTAAAATGAATAGCAATTGGAAGGTATAAGGAAGATTATGACTATCCCTTAAACTTTGTTTTCTACTCAAGTTTTGAACAGTTGAGGTGCTCCTAGAGTGTGGAGATGTACCAATTACAAGTCTATTTCAAATAAAATGTTGAATCAAATTAAATCTATGAGGAGGAGGAGAAGAAGAAAACAATTCATGTTCAATTCATGTTCGTGTGAGAGAGCCGAAGCCTTCGGAAAAATTACGCTGCAGATTGGAATTGAATCCCAAACAGCCCAAGAGGCCATGTTTATAGGGCAAACTCGTCTTCCTCTTCAACTCCTCTGAAACTGCTCTGTTCGTTTTGTAGTGTAATTCGTGAGCCGAAATCGATCCTCTTCTTCTCAAGCTCGATACCGAACTCATGCTCTCCACCGACCGGAAGCTTGAGTTCTTCACCTCCTCCACTGCCTTCTTGTCCGTCGCTCGTCCTTCCGATGCGCTCCGGAATAGTAACAGATCTCGAATTCTCCATCTTTTCTGGCCTCTGGAGAACGAGAATGCGGAGAGGAAGGATGTGGATGAGGAGATCGACTGTTTGTGGTTGCTTGTGGCGGAAGGTACGGCTGATTTCGCTTCCATTTCTTGCTCGGAATCGAGTATGATGTCTGAGACTCGGAGTGGAGATAACGATCGGCTTCCAGTGCGTCTAATGGATGAAGACGACCGCGAGGTGCCGGTGCTCGTTGTTCTCTCTCTACCTCGATTTCGCTCGGTATCGGCGCCTGCGTTTCCGTCGGTTCTCCGTGTTGCCGTCTTGAAAGCCTCCTCAATCGGATCGGAATCTCTCTGACGGTGATGGCGAGAAGACAAACCTTCCTGAACTAATCTCTTTCCCTGTAGAAACACAGACGTTCAACAAAATTGGAGGAGAAGAAAAAAAAAAAAAAAACAGAGAGATCAAAAGCAGAGTTCTATTCTCGATTCAGCGATGAGTTTCTGTCTTACCTGTTCGATTTTCGACGATCTTGTTGATATCGGCGATGTCACATTAGAGGAAACAGAATCAGCCACTCGATGACACAGCGAAGGCTTCAGAGCCCTAATTTTACCGCAATCGAAGAGCTCTTCAGCGGACAAAGAAGTCCGTTCCAACTGTCCACTAAAATCGAATTCAAAATCCTCATCAGCAACACTACTACAACCATCGCCTCCAGATTTCACAATTCCAGGAATCTCCTCCCACAGCAAGGGGATCTCCGAAGCCGACGAGCTCCTTCCGCCGCCGTCGTCGCCGTAGCCAGAACCAAACTCATGAAAATCATAGTAGAATGCAGCGGCACGTGAGGGAGAGGTGGGAGCGCTGGAGAAGAAGAAGGTGCCGAAGCGCTGAGGACTGGAAGGGGCGGTCATGTAAGGGGAAGAGCAGGCGCTGTCGAAGTTGAAGTCGACGGGAGTAACCGGAACCGCCACTTCCATTGTGAACGGGGGGGGGGGGGGGGGGGGGG